GGAATATTTCGAATAATTGATGTAGGTGATCAGCGTGTTCATGGATCGAACTGCTAGCTATTAAGACATCATCAATATACACGAAAACAAAATCTAGGCCTTTAGTGACCTCATCCATAAATCGTTGAAATGTTTGTGCGGCGTTCTTTAATCCAAAAGGCATTCTTAGGAATTCAAACAAACCAAATGGAGTAATGATGGCTGTTTTTGCTATGTCCTCGGATGCTACTGGAATCTGGTGGTACGCTCGCACAAGATCAATTTTAGAAAAAATTTGCTTGCCATGTAAAGTGAGAGAAAAATCATGTAAATGAGGGATTGGGTAGCGATCCGGTAATGTGAGGTTGTTCAATGATCTATAATCACCACAAGGTCGCCAATCTTGGTCTCGCTTGGGCACCATGTGGAGTTGGGATGCCCAGGGGCTACTTGACGGACGTATTATACCTAGCTGCATCATATGATCAAACTCAGCTTTTGCAACATTCAGTTTGTCTGGTGGTAATCGGCGTGGACGTGCCGAAGTTGGTTGACCTTTTGTGATGATCCGGTGTACTACAGAATGTTGGACAGTGTTTTCGCTGTAGTCTGGTTTCGTTATTTTGGGAAATTTAGATAGAATGGTGGCAAATATGTCGTTCCCTGGAGTGTCAATTTTAATACTATGTATGTGGTAGTCCGACTGAATTCCCTGGATTTGAAGGTTCGTGCAGGAATCAATAAGTTTTCTTCTCTTAACGTCAACTAGTAGGTTGTAGAAACTGAGAAAATCTGCACCTAGTATAGGGTGACGGACATCCGCAATAATAAACACCCAGGTTAAATTCCGTCTAATTCCCAATCTAATGTTAGAAATTGTTCGCCAAATGTCTTTATTTCGGTTTTATTAGCTGCCCTTAGGGTATATTTTCCACTCTTAGCAGTAGGTTTATTGGCTAAGGTAACTGGGATGACACTAACTTCAGCTCCAGTATCTACTAAGAATTTGTACCCTGAAGTTTTATCAAGAACGTGGAAAAGACGAGTAGGCGCACGACCAGAAACATTTGTCGCTACCATGGTTTGGTTGACACGTTTTGGTGAGGAAAATGACTTGAAAAATTTACAAGACGTAACACATTTCCTAGCTTTGTCACCATATTTTTTATGGTACCAACATATGTTGTCGTTGTTTTTGTTTCCTTTTGAGTTGTTTCGATTCTTACTCCCTCGAGAACTAGAGCGAGGTCTTGTAGATGTGACGTTGGAGATTAATAACTGTAATGCATCCAGTTTATTTTCAAGAGTGGCGACAGTTCGTTCATGTTGTGCTCGTAGTTCGCCTAGTTCAGCAGTTAACGATGCTATGGTGGGAGTTTGCTTATCGTTCGAAGTTTCTAATATTGCCTGTACGTAAGGTGTAGTACAGGGTGTAACTTCTAAAATTTTATCCGCCATGCTAGCAAGACTTTCTAAATCTGATGGTTGGCTAGAGGCACAAAGAATTTGCCTAACTACTGTTGGCAAACGTTGTAGCCAAATCTCCTTGAGGAAAGCGTCATCAAATTTATATGGGCCAGCTAATTGTCTCATGTGTCTTAATAATTGAGACGGTGATTTGTCGCCTAGCTCACAATGGTGCAGTAATTGCTGTAATCTCTTTTCATCAGATAATGAGGTACGTTGAATAATTGCCTGCTTCAACTGATCATATGGATTAAGTGCAGGAATATTAACTATCAAATCTGACACCTCAGATGCAACCTCAGTGGGTAGTAATCCAAGCACAAAAGAGTATTTAGATGCCTGTGAGCGTATGTTGCGACGCTGAAATTGTACTTTTACTTGCGCAAACCAAATGCGAGGATTTAATCGGCTGAATGGGGGCACATTTATCAAATTTAGAGCATGTAGCTCGGCTGAAATGTTATCCTGGCTAATGCCTTCAGTTTCGGATGAGTACATTACGAATATATGAAAATTTAAATACTACCAAGGGTAAAATAACGCCGTAATGTCTGTAAGTGAACTCAAAAGTAGTTGAGAGAGAAAAAAAATTTTACGGGCTCACCAAATTTGTGGTGGTCCCCAAACAAAAGGAGCTTACACAAAATATATTGATACACTAGGTTAACACTGATATACCAAAACGGATTAATGATTAAGAAACCTAGAGGTCTGTCCGTTAGTAAAAACAAAGGTAATGAAATACCGTTAGCAATACAAAAGGTATATTAAACAAAACAGACGCTAACAGTTACTATAGATTGAATGTTACTTGTTAACTGCCTTGTGAGGACAACGACCACAAACTGAGTTCACTTGGTTGACAGGTGTTCCTCTGCAAGTGACTGCACCAAAGACGTAATGAGGAAGACGGAGTCCAATAGTATTATACAATAGTAATCCGTGCCAAAAGTCCAACGTTGAGTCGGAAGGCCTATAATGATGTTATAATACTATTATAGTCTTCAATCAAAACGGTGGCCAATAAAACAGAAGAAGAAACGGCGTAGGTATTGTTCTATATTTTAAACAACCCGGTAGTAGAAGTGTATACCATTCATCGAAACAATTATTATCGTCTTTTTAACAAGTGATACAGCAAAACAACAGATATTGGATAAAGATGTGGTTACAAATAAAGTGTGACAAATTAGAGAAAAAATGTGGTTTTTATTTTTGTTGTTACAAAAATCACTGAATATATGTCACCATAAGTGATGATCTAAATAGCCTTTTATTGAAACAAAGGCTTAAATCAGTTATTGACAAGACGTAATTCTCAGCAAACGTCATTTTCAGGGAAAGATAAGGCTCATGTTTCGCCAAAACTTAAAAGACTTGAAAACGATTGTGTCACACCTCATTGTATTTATTAATTTACATTTGTGTATGATCATACATAGGTACGGGGAAGTAATCATTTTCTCCAAATCAGCGTGTCTGAAGGGCTGCAAAACAAGTAAAATCAAATGACCCAATAAGAGTAGATGATAAACATTCATCAAGCATTATCGTCAAACACATAGTTGAAACAGGTCGTAAGACTGATCGTAACACGGCTTTTCTGGTGTTGTAAAAAAGTGTGATTAGTCGATAACTGGAACGCTGTATCCAAAAAAGTGGTATCATCCTCATTAGCGAATGTTTTCAGAGAAGATCTGGGTCTTCACTAGAAGACAAGCTGCAAGGATTGTCACAATTCCACCAACCCAGTAGCCTTAACACCGGAGACTAAGGAAGTTTGCCGCTCAAGGTCGTCGGGATGAGAGCGAAAATCTGAAAGTGTGTGACTCGCTAGGACATGCGTTCAGCTTATTGTTTGAGACGTTATGCTAGGCATTTCTCTTCAAGCATCCAAAGAAGCCAGCTAGATATCACAAAAGTTTCATTAAAAGATGTGATCGATCAAGGGTTCAGTAATCACTCGAAACCGTTCACTGAGGATAAGGAAACTAAGATCACGCACTTGAGTAATGGTCTTCGTGTGGCTTCTCAAAACAAACTTGGTAGCCAGTGTGCAATAGGAGGTTTGTTTCAGTTTTTATACTCTATCTTTAGTTATTATTAAGGCTGGTCCTAAATACGAAGGGAACTTTGCCAGCGGGACTTCTCACTACCTTGAGAAACTAGGATTCCATGTTAGTCACTCTTTTATGCTCTATTTTTAGTCATCTGACCTTTACGCAGATCGAAATTCTTTTCAAGAGGCCATGGAAAATTGTAACTCGATTTTTGACTGTCAAGTAGCCAGGTATTTTCATGCTTCGACATTTTTCATTTGCGACTTTTAATTTTGGAGTTAGTGGTAATAAATGTAGTCACTAGTCAGTAAAAAATTACTTGTTCTCGTTTTGTGATGGTAAAGTTACATTTCTTATTATCACATTGCCCGAGTCCTGGAAACTATCAAGTTTTATTTTTTGATAGAAACATCAATAGGGATTTATCATTTTAATTTATACGATTCGTACATTGAAGTACACTGGTTATAAGAAGTGATTTTTGAATTGTTCATCGATAAACAGGATGAATGCCGGATAGTCTTCATTAATGCTACTGATATGTTATCCAAATTTCCTTTCATCGTTATACGTTCACAGTGCTAATATGATATATTTTAGTAAGGGGTTCCAAAGGAACAATACTTTATATGAGAAAAAAATATCCAAATTTGCATCCGATAAGGTTTTTTCAGGGTTGTGAGATTCCCTTCGACTATCATATGAAGTAAAGACATATATGACGTAGACTTACCTAAGTTGTTTTCTGGTTAGCGTTTTTTAGCGAGTTCGTTTTCTACAGGATGGGGTCGCTAACCCCATACCCAGCTCTCCTTTATCCGGGCTTGGGACCGGCAGTAGCTCCACAGGGGCTCCAGGTGGAGTTATGAATGATCGTGAAAGCGGTAGTATCAGATCCATCCCTCACCCTTATTATCAAGTCGATATGACATCCTCTTATATATAGTTTAATTTCTTTGTTAACACCTCTTATTATATATGACCCCTAACGTATGACGAGCATAAGACTCCAAATGTGTCTTCATTACGGCTCTTAAAGACCTTACGGAGTATAAAAAAAACACGGACTTTAGTTATTGCTTCACAATTAGCTGGTCTTGTGAGGTCATTGCTTTTAATAATGTGTACCATCCAAGGTGTTTATACAACGATCCAATGATGTAACCTATCATATCTTATGATTCGACGAAAAGAAATGATCTTTCCTCATATTCAGTACTAGTTTCTTCAACGTCGGTATTAATGTTTTTGTTTATCTATTATTTTATTTTATTTGAACACAGATATTGGTGCAAGGAGGCACCAAATACATGGGCTGTGATACTGCTCGGGTGCCCAAGCCGAAGCAGGTGTTCTTAGGGGGCCACACCCGGAGCTTTCGACCTGAAGGTCTGAGCCACAAGGCAGTGGAGCATCGTAAGGAGGTTCAGTCCCATGGTAGCCGATGACCAACGATTGGTTCATATGCCATTTGTTTTCTCAAGATCCTGGAGCCCATGTACACCATTGGTTTGGAATCAGGGTTTTCCGACTGCCCTAGGTGAACTCTCTATGTCCATCAACCCGGTTAAAGTGCCAAACGTTCGCTTTACATTCATTTAATTTTGTAAAGAACAATAATGCCGTGAAAAGGCAATGAGTAGGACTTCCTTAGCAGTGGTTGTATGTATGTGGCCATGTGAGAGCATTTCGAGAGGGAGAACTGATTCTCTCCACTCTCGGCCGTACCAGGGCATTTTGGGGCAATAATATATCATGAAATACAGTAGTCCACTAACAAATGACAACTAAGTAGATCAACTGGGTTTTAGAGGTAAACTGAATAACTTTCGTATCATGGCACTGGATTTGTATAAAATTACATTGTATGTGAAAGTATTACTTGACATGGAGTCATGAACAAATTAGGTAATTGCATTAGTCACTACGGAATATATTGCTCTCAGTTTGAACTTATAACAAGCATTGTCATTTGAATATGAATTATTTGTCAATATAGTTTATCTGACTAATACAATTCTTCGTAGATTAATGAGTAAAGAGATCTGATTATTTTCTGGTCATAATATTTCTAAAGCGCATCATCAAAATGAATCTACAGATCTTTATTGTCTAGATACAGACTTGAAACATAAATACCAATGAATCATTTATACTTACACAGTGAATAATGTGATGGTTATGGGAGCATAAACCAAAGCAATTAGGTAAGCTAAACGTTTATACGTTATTGGCTAACCTGGATGTTTACTCTAGAGAGCAGTAGCAAATTAAGACGTTACATCACTAAACTTGATAGTAAGTAAAGTAGATTTAGATTTAAAGCGTTCCTTTTTTTCGTCTTAGAATTTATGTCTAACATTCATTTGCAACTTAGTTGTTTGAACTTCTTTAGGTGAAAATTGAATTCGTTAACACCATCTTGACACTAGAAACTCTCGACTGTTGCGCAACACTTGTGAGGAATACTTCCATCACCTTGAAAGAAGCGAACAGAACTTCCATAATTTAAGCTATATATATAAGACACATCAAAAGAGGATTTCGATATGTCAGTCAGCTACAATGTAGGACCAGGCACATATGTGCATCAGTCCAAGTTGCCATACCGGATTAGCACGGCATGATGATCATCGGATTCATAGAAGTAGTTCATTCAATGGTGGTAATATATAAAAGAAAGATGTCTTTATTTACTGTCCTACTTCTTACTATGGCTTCATTATATGGTCTTGCGACCGTTCTGCTTTTCCTTGAGTAATATTTCACATGGAAAATTACTTTCCTAGGTGGCATTTCGCCGCTACATACCCTCCAATTAAACCAGTAGGATGACAGACTGGTTTGAATAAATTTTTTGGCAATCATAATAGGAAAGCAAATGTTATTGTGTCACTTCCATTGTTTCCAGCCCAATGTTGTTGTTTACTTAGAGGCATTTACTTAGTTGATTTTTTCTGATCTTAATCCTTTAATTAGCATGGTCCTTTTGGGATGAAGGTATGAAAAACGTCGACTTAGGCACTTTAATAAGTCTGTCCTCCTGATCCATTGGTAAAACCTTATGCGTAACTTTGAATTGTTGCTCTTACCTTCACTCCTCTTGGATAGATTTCTAAAGGTCCGCTAACATTAACTTGTTTAAGCAGTGCAAGTTGTACCAATTAACCCCTTATTCTTCAGTTAATGATCATAAAATAATGATATAGGTTCATTTTGCTGCATTTCGACAATATGTGGCGAGTGCATATCTTAACGTTGTTGTCCGTTCTCATTGACTAGAAGAGAAGGAACATTGAAAATATCCAGGAATGTCAGACTACCATCTAAAACCGATCCTGCATATAATTGGATCATGATAAATGTCTAGTAGCTGAAAATTCGCACTGTTAACTACGCTTCATTAACACAAGCTATACGATCTGCTTCTCTAAGTCATACGGTAATAATTCCACAATCGGCTTTTCGAACGAATAGAATTAGTGGTTGAAAATCGCAACCTAGTGTAGACCGTTAGGTTAGCGTAATACAATCCAACACAAAACCATGTACAGGAGTGGGAGAGAACTCATTAATAACAAGCGTAAACATCTAGAAATTAAGACGATGACTCTATAGTCTAAGTATACATCTCCCTTATTCGAACCATACTACGTTTCTTCCATGTCGATATATAAGTAGTGTCATTAACTCTCACTCAGGAAGGAGCCGCTCAAACCTGGATATATATATATATATATATATATATATATATATATATGCAGGTAATTTTACTGATGTTAGTTTGTTTCTCTGAATTTTTGGTACTTATTATGCTTTAATTTATAGAGATTTCATAGTCTATGCAGTATCTGGTTTCAACACAAATATGGATAAGCTTACGCATATATTATCTGAAACAGTTCTTAGAGCAAAATTTACTGAGGAAGAGATTGAAATGGCAGCTAAAAGTATTTCCTTTGAACTTGAAGCTTTGGAAAGATCACCACCAGTTGAACCAATTATGAATGAATTATTACATGTGACTGCTTATAAAAATAACACACTTGGCTTGCCAAAATATTGTCCTAAACAGAATTTAGATAAAATTAATCGCGAAGATATCATCAAATTTGTTGCCACTCAATTCAAGTAGGTTGTTTTTTCTTTAAATTCAATAAGTATAAATCAGTACACCATCTTTAATATTGAGCTTTGTTTTTAAAAGTTACCCTTTCGAATAGTACATGCTTAAAAACGTATGACAATATTCTTCTAACAGCAGTGCTTTATTGATGCTAGTCAGTTTCTTTTTATGTCAGGTTGTTGGGTGGAAAATTAAACATTCTTTAGATTTTTTAGATTTCCCAATATGATCGTTCGTAGTTGTTAACATTATTTTTGTTACGTATATTTATTACTGCCTTACATTGGTGCATCGAAGGTTAAAGTATAAGTGTATGTATTCTCTCAAGACCAATCTTCAGCGACATCAACTCTTGTTAGTTGTCCAGTCACAACGTAGAATCTGGTACGTATGTACGTTGGTTCAAGTTACTATACTCCATTAGCACAGAGAGATAAAATGGTCAGGCCAAATACCAAAATAGTAGAAGTAGTAACTCATTCAGTGGTAATAGGAAAAATTAGACATCGAAGACACGACTCAATAGGAACATATAAATTAGTGAAATGAAAATAAGGAAGAGCTGTGAGGAATTCAGGAGCTTATAATTTAGAGAATGACAAAGAGCAGATGCAACTGCATCACTGCACACGATTTTGAGCTGTCATTCAAAGTCTCTAATCGTTGGTTACGATAATCACGGGATCCCCAGTCAGGTAGTCCATACCTATTAACATCAATTGTATTTATCGCACAGACTTCAACCAGGAACTTTACGCATCTGAACCCTGATAAATCTAATCCTAAGGATTGATTCCATATATTACACTGGATATCATCAGGCTTTACCTAAAATACCATTTCAACCACCATAATACCATTGCGGTACGTCGTGGTTGGGTGACACTAGTTTATGCACTAGTTTACCACCATCTATTACTGTCCGTTTTATCAGTAAATCCATCCTAAAGGCCACGTCACTGACTTTTATGCATTTTACTTGTGGCATCCCAAGTGGCTTTCATACCAATCACTGTTTTTGCAGCTAGGATTAATCGAGAACGTAGAAAAAACTGTCCTCCCACGACGATAAATCTTGGCACGTAATGTAGTTGGGTTTGATTAGCGTTTCTTACCCCGTTCTCGTTATTATAGTATAGTTTCCCTCTTTTCTACCGCACATTTGATTTTTCTTCGTTTTACATTGTACTGGTTTGTGACATACATGTGAAAAGTTAATTAATCAATAGACTAAGTCATCTTAAAATGACACTAAGATACGACTTTCATTATTTCAATAAAGTAAAAATAACTTGTTCTGTTCACATTCATTAAGTATATAAAATCTCTGTTATTGTCACTTCTTTATTATTTAAAATCATTTTCATTGATATAACTGACTGGAGAAAATAAATCGGCGGTCGGTGTATGAGATAATATTATTCAGTGGAAGTAAGTTGTATTACACAAATAACTCTTGACTTCTCAAAACTCTGTAAGGGACTTTTAAGAGATTATGTAACTTATTTCCCGTAAAATAGAAGTAATTAGTGTATTATCTGTAAAATTCAAGATTATCCCTTTATTATTATTATTATTATTATTATTATTATTATTATTATTTGAACACATATATATTGGTACAGGAGTGCGCCAAACATATATGCGCCACACAATTTCAGTTCATTAATTGCGTGTGGGCTGCGTTACTGCCCGGGTGCCCAGACCGAAGCAGGTGGTTTTCTTAGGGGGCCACACCCCGAGCCTTTGACCCAAAGGTCTAACCCACAAAGCAGTGGAGCATCGTAAGGAGATGCAGTCCCATGGTAGCCGGTGACCAACGATTGGTTCATACGCCATTTGTTCCCGCAGGATACTGGTGCCCATGTGCACCATTGGTTTGGAATCCGGTTGAAGCGCCGGACATTCGCTTTTCATCCTCTCATTTTCGTAAACAACACCCCCGCCACGAGAAGGCAGTGAGTAGGACTTCCCTGGCAGAGGCTGTATACGCGCGGCCGTGTGAGAGTATTTGGAGAGGGAGGGCGAACCCACCCCGCTCTCGGCCATACCAGGGCGTTTGGGGGCAGATTATCCCTTTAATTACACATATTTCATTGTTTCTCTCATCACTGACCATTTCCATCATGTTTTCCATATCCATGATGTTGTCTTACCCTTTCTGGTATTGCACATCTATTGGTACTATTTAATAATAGTTTTGACCATTTTGTATTTTAATTTGTACATTGTAGACCAGAAAAAATGGTGATAGCTGGTGTCGGAATTGAACATGATGCACTAGTAAAGTCTGTAGAGAAATACTTTATTCCAACAGTGCCTAATGTATCTTACGAAAAGGCGGCTAATGATCTGCCTTCACCTGTCACTACTGTCTCCGAATATACCGGTGGTTATTACAAGGCAAGTATTGTTTTATAAATGCTTTAGATTTCGGATTACATTTCTGTTCATGTGATTATTTGTAGAATCTAGGACTATGTTGCTTACATTTATTGTTCAGAGCAGTCGGTACTAGAAACATGTTCATCCTTATTGTTAAGAAGCACTAATTTTCCATCAGTGGATTATCCTTTATGATCAGAAACCTAAGTAAACTTTTTAAGGAATAATAGGTTGACAGAATACATTATTTGATTCGGCTGACTTATTATTGACGCTGTGTGAGAAAATCTCTTGGTGGGTGCGAGATTTGAAGCGGGGTTTTTGATTCAATGGCCTCAGGTTTTGTTTTGTTTGTCCTGTTTATTTATCGCGGCAGCAGGAGAAAAATACAAGGACTGTCAAAGCTTTGATTTATTCCTGTACGGTGGCTACCCGCGAAATTAAGTGTTATTGAGTCTTAAATTGTTAACCGATGCTTAAGATTCAGATGCTAAAATTGCTAAGCTACACATATTTGTTACGTGAAGCGACGGTTTATCGGTTAAATTAATCGACGGTCAGTCTTTTACTCACAGTTTTAATCTTTTTCCCCACCGCCTTTGCTATGAATAGGCAGTTCTTATCACTGATTACTCAAAGTGTTTTCCAATGTTGAGGACTCGCACTAATTTACCGAAATCCGTCAGTCGTAACAGGAAATATATTGCAGTAATATGTTAAATATGCTTCACTTACCAAAACTCGCAAAAAAGTTTAGTTCAGAAACCATTTCACCCTTATTGTTCAAGCCAAATCTGAATCAATGACATTATAAAGTCAGTTTATCAATCGGATGAGTAACTTGCGTTGAACTATATGCTACGATTTTGTATAGAAGGTGTTGAATGAACCACACTACATCCAATTTTCATTCGGTGATTAGACAGTATAACTGACTTCTGCCAAATTATGTGACTCAAAGCTTAGGTATTTCACATTATACTGTGTTACACTAGTTGGTGTGATTAGTTATTAGGGATATAACTCTGGTTATAGTAAATTGTTTTTACAAATGATTGTGCAGTCTATTGATTTGAACAAACACTTGTTTAATGTGAACTGAAAGTTCAAACTATACTCTTATTGTTTAACTTTCTAGTACACAAATATTTGTATCGTTGTCACATTGTATATTTCATGCATATAGTTATTTCGTTTATCCAGATGATCTTTCTCCCTTAAAATTGTAATATACAAAACTGTACATTCGATCCCAAGTTTGTTTACTTATTTTAAAAATGAAATATTTTCTGTCAATCACACTTTCCTCTTTTTTTTTTTGATCAATCAATTAATAGTTAGAACGTGATTTATCACAATATCATGCACCAATGCCTGAATATGCTCATGTTGGCATCGGTTTTGAATCATGCAGTTATACAGATCCACAATTTGTACCAGCATGTGTACTTCATTCATTACTTGGTGGAGGTGGATCTTTTTCAGCTGGTGGACCTGGCAAGGGTATGTATACTCGACTATATCTAAATATTTTAAATCAGTAAGTTAGTTATATGGTAATATTTAAGTATTTTGATTCTCATAAATTGGTGGTATGAATTTTTGTCAGATGCAATTCACTTATGTTAAAAATTAAACAGATATTACTGATAACATTAGATAATCTTCGCACAATTTTTCGAGTTAGTTGAAATTGCTGATATGGATCCATTAAATTCTGACTCAACGGTCCCAATACATCGTAATCTCTGCTAAACCTGAATATTCTGCGCAGAAGGTTAATTTGTCAATAGTGTCTTTCAGAAACAAGTAGATAGGTTCTTAGTAAACTATAAAGGTGATATTTATCCCAAATGTAGGTTGACGTTATATCGAAATACCTTTAAATGCAACAGTAATATCTATCAGTAACTTAAACCAGTGTATAATTAACTGACAGATGCTCGAAAACACCCCATCCGCCACTGAACAGTATGAAAAGCCAAGAAAATAAAGACTAACCAAAACTCTACTCAGTGATCGTGAGCTGTTTATGGGCAACAAGAGCAAGAGAGATGAAAACTTCATTGATAACGGGTAATAATAATTGGCTATCTAGACTTATCAAGAAAATAGATGTTAATAAGCTCGTTGTCAGTGACACTCATTCAGTCAGTCAGTCAGCTACAACGTAGGACTAGGCACATATATGCATCGGTCCAGGTTGCCATACCGCATTAGCACAGCAAGATGAACACCGGATTCATAGAAGTAGTTAATTCAATGATGGTAATATATAGAAGAAAGATTGCAATAAGGATATATTACAGAAAGAAAGAATTAGTACGTAGAAAGATATGAAGCGATTTTAATCTCTTAGTTTAAGGGTGAACAGAAAGTGTATACACCTACGCCATTGTGATCGATTCTGAGCCATGTCACCAAGAGTCTCCAACCATCGGTTACGATAGTCACGCGTACCCCAACCAAGTATTCTGCATCTGCCAACATGGCTCAGACTAGAAGTTAGTGACTTTAAGCACTGATGCCACGTTTTGGTTCGGCCGTCCCTAATTCTCTTCCAACCATCCTCAACACCGGTTAACATTGCGTGTCGTGGTAAACGGTTTTCAGGCATACGCAACACGTGGTCCAACCATCTCAGTCGATGAAGATTCACAACCTCATCAACTGATTTACCATCATTCCCTAATACCCTACGTCTAACCTCACTATTACAATAGAAAGGTGTGGTACAATTAAATTTTCAAATCCAAGGTATATTTCAAACTTGACTGTACATATCAGATTCACTGGAATAACGGTTGAATTCACTTGAATAATTCACCCGAGGTCTACTTGTGTCAGAAAGAATGTCTTGGTTACTTAGGAATATTTTTATGTGAGTATATATGAAAGATATATTTGCGGTTTCACAATAAATAATAATTAGTTCAATTTGAGCTCACATTCAAGGTAATGAGACCACAGCAACACTCAATCATAGACCAATCAAACGTAAAAAACGGTGGGTTCAAAATGGCTATCCATGTAAAATACGTTTCAACCAGTAAGAGCGTAGCCTGTTTGTCGATAACTAATTTAGCTATTGAGATACAAGAAAAGGGGGATGAACCGTGATTACTAACAAGTAATATGGTCATGAAACATGAATTTCACAATACTTGTATGGATACGTAGTCATTCCAATTCTCTAAGAACAAATCAGAAATGTCTAGTGTACTATTAGCAATAATTCTTACATACTGTTGATCAAGTGGTAGCTAGTGACTAAGCTATGTGCGTACATTTACTAATGTAAGATTTTTCTGGACGATTTCTTGTTTTTTTGCCATATGATTACTCAAATTATCATAATTTTGTTATCTGCTTCTTAATTAGTTTATATATCACTACATACTCCATGTTTTCCTGTTTTATATCTTGTAGACATCATTGGGTAAATTCAGCACAGGCTGAAAATCATGCTTATGCTGATACAGGATTATTCACTATTATTGGCAGTTCATTTCCAACTTATCTAGATCGTTTAGTCTATACTTTGATTAATGAATTGCACCATACTATATCATCTTCAATATCACATGAAGAGTTGTCGAGAGCTAAACATCAGTTGAAATCTATGCTTCTAATGAATTTAGAAACTCGTGCTGTTAGTTTTGAAGATATTGCTCGTCAGGTGCTTACATCTGATGTGAAACGTGAACCACACTATTGGGTTGACCAAATAGGTAAGTCGTATTCCGTTTTTAAAATTATTAACAGCAATTGCGTTTTCTTTTACTTACTTTATACATAATCGATCATTAGTACTGCTGTTAGTCTATAGTTCAGTATCAATCACCTTCAGACTACAAGGTTATGACATCTGTCTCTTTTACAGTCAAAAACTTTGTGTAAATTTAGTTATTTTTCGTTGAAAACATCTTTATAAGTCCTCAGAAGTTAGGTTCTTGAATCGCCTTTTCATTTTACGTGTTTGCGTCCAATCCTTCCAGTCCCAAATTAAAAAACCCTGTAATAAGATGGTTTAACCAAAATAGTTATCAGTCGTCATCTAGTTAGTCAGTTATCTTTCGAAATCAACAGGATGCCATACTTCTTCGTTGTTTTCATCGTCGTAGAAGGTCATCCTGTATTATCATGTTATTTTTAGAGTCCGCACAAATTTTACTAAAATGTTTGATCCATTAAAATTGAACTATTTTCATCATTCTTTTATCTCCGTAATCACCATTCAATTACTCTTTAATTATTAAGTATTCACAGATACGGTGAGTCCGGAAGTCTGTTTTCAAAGGAACAATAGCACCAAAACTGTTTGGTCTTCTTAAAATCCCTAAAAACAGCTTTTTCCTTCAACAAATCTTATATTTGACTAATTCTGTTTAGCAGTCTACGGTAAAATAACTAATTCAAATTCCGAAACCATTAAACAAAAAAAATCGTCAAGCATGATAGAAAATACTTTCAGTAGTTAAGATTAGTTTCATGATATCTTTGTTCAGCGGTGTTCCCTTTTTAGAGACAGTAGGCTTTTTATACAACAAACTTATTAAAATGGACATAAAAAAATGGATATCCTGTTTCTATATCAGGACAGTTATGTTTCAGATGCACAAAGAACGTTCATTTGCAATTCAATGACTAATCTCATAAACAATCGGATACTGTTCTTATTGGATCACTATTGACTAAACTCTTCTTGGAACATTTCCATCAGAACTAGAACATGACTCATTTAAATGTGAAATCAAACAACTGGTATTTTTCCTTGTTAAATAAATAACACTTCCATATTACTTACTGATGAAGGATTTGATTGTGACCAACTTGATCTCGTGTGCTGTTACGGGTATGAGGGCTGATATCAATTCTCGGTTGCCCACACCGTGGAAGGCTATTTCTTGGGGAACGTGAAAAGGAAGTTGGATTAGCGTTGGTCTTAACGACCTAGGAGAGTGACCTCAGAGCCCACAGGTTAGCTGCTTGAGGTTGGTTGCACACGGCCTTTTTGTGGGGGGTTTTTAACGTGTTAACTCCGTTCTTCAAAAGGCCTTACCGCTGGAGACGGAAATCCGTGAGGTAAGGTAAGATGTGACATTTTTAGGGTCGACATTTTCTGACCCCTTCCATTCTTGTGAGAAGGCAGCATCGCTGCAAATGCTGGTTGCCCGAGGGAAACACCTTACTGCTGTCACACCCCTCTACACTGGGCAGTACGACTTGGCCACTCAGACTTTGAGTTGCTGGTTTTAGTCTTACCATTCTCCAATCGACCTGGCTGGCATGGTAGAACCTACAGGAACATATGTTCCAGCCAATATAGCTCGGTTGGGTCATCACGATAGGCAAGCCTGACCATCACGTCAAAGTCGCAGCTACGATTAGGACGATAGCAACCGATGGTTAGAGACCTTAAATGTCATGGCTCAAAATCGTTTGCAGTCGCGCAGGTGCATCAACTCTTTGTGTTCTCCCAAATTATAATCTTCTGAATTCTTCATGTCCCTTTACATGTTCTCTTTCCAAACTTGTTTAACTGGATTATACTCTTTGAATAACATCTTCAAACCCTAATGTTTCCGATTACTGCTTATACTTTTACTATTTCGACCACAATGGGATTTGAATCGACAACTCTATCTGTATGCTAATATGGTATGGCAACTCGAACTGATGTACGTACTTACGAAGTTCTACGTTGTTGGTGACTGGCTGACTTGCTGATGAGAAGTATAGTGTACTTGAGAAATTGTACAGCATCAATCCATCACTCACACTCACATTAAATGAAGAAATTGATGGTACCATTTCATTTTCAGATGTCTCGTTAATGGAGAGATTAAACGCGGCATTAAAAAGTACATATAGAAAATGGGCATCATTTAATCAGTCTACTCATTTTCGCAGTTTTGTACCTGTTATATCTTGAGACAACTGACATGTGCCAAGTCAACAAACAGAATTCTGATCCTAATATTGTCCATTTCGCAGCTACTATTTCCTCGGTAGCCTAGTGTCCCTAAATTGACAGATTACACGCCCGACCATCACTACTGATTTTGAGTCGACAATTAAGGTCCTATTACTCTGTTCTTCGACAGCTTTTCTCTGTGTCATGGCTTGAGCCCAGCGTCCACGATATTTATATTTCAAACACGCGGTCTATGTACGTATATACGTACATAAATAAAAGATAACACTGATACACGAACAAACCAAAAGTGGCTATGAATAAGGGATACTGTAAGAAATCGGCTGGCAATAAACTTAGTCATAGTAAATCGTATAACCGTAGTTTTGTTATAACAACTTGTCAAATGTCAAAGCGTAATACATTGTATCAAGTTATTTTGTTCTAATGAGAAAATTCAAGTAATGCTGAATAATAACAATCCCGAAATTACTTAAATGAAACCCTATGAACTTTATAAACAGACATATGATTCAACCGAAAACAATAATCATTCCTAGAAATCAGATATCCCTAAAACTATCGTTCACAACTAGGAAGGTAGGTACTTGTGAATTTACAACACAAGAATAAGTAAAACTCCACAAAAGGCGTTTGATACAACTAAGGTAGGTTGCCTGTCTACAGTCGTTCTATAGTCACAGCCAAAAATGAAGAGGGACTTTCTCAATTTGTTTCATCTATGTGTATTGACCAATTCAACTGCTCATGTAGAGCGTGTTTTATTGAATACATACAATTAAGTAACCTTGTTATGTAGTTCCGAGCACTCTTCTCTATGATTCACCAAAAAGCTAAGCAAAGTTGATTAATAGGTACATATTTGGTCATTTATTCTATGCGGGACATTAAGTGGACATAGATAAAGCCTTCCAAGTAATCCAGCCTATCTCATTAACTTTTTTAGTTCTCCAAAAGTTTTCCACAAATTGCACCAAACAATCCCAGTAAGTCATTTCGTTTATTTATTGGACAGACCATGGACACTGACAAACGATTTGCTGATTTCAATTATTAGTCTTGTAGTGTAGTCTACATGAAACAAATCTATCGGAATAATATGATGAGTAGTAAATGACGAAATCACAAATTGATTGGAGCTGAAGTCGCACTACTGGACACGGATTCTAGTCCTAATTGATTTGCATTCTCTGTGAAAACTGAAGGTCATGGTTTTTATTCTTGTCTGGTTTTATGGTGCACATGGCGAACGGCTCCCGTACTAGGATTAAACAGTTGTCCAGTGCTCCCTGGTTATCAACGGTGCTCTAACTAAAACTAACCTCTGATGAATACATATATTTTATGGAACTGATCAACCATATATAGTTTCATGTTATTCACTATTGTGTCACATTCTCCTTTCAATTAAACATTAGCCATACGACTCAGATATTCTAATCGAAATAGGTTAACTCCTATGTTTTAATCATTAGGCCATAATGAATATGCGGAATCGTAGTTCAACAGGTAGAGAACTTGATATTTTAAACCATTAACTTACTGGTTTTAAAATGGCTCTATATATCTATGTTTCAACAGCCTGGTAGTATTGAGATTTGTGCATTAGTATGTTGTGTTACTCATGAGTAACTAGTTTTTTTTGTCGTACACTGTTCTTTTACTTTAATTGATCTTAAACTGACTGTTAACTTATTAGTTGATGCACTTTTTATCTGTAAAACCAATGATGATTTTAAGTATATATAATCTGAGAAATTACGGCAGTTTTTTTAAATTTGATCGACCTTAGATGTGTTATTCCGGTGATTCAAACAAGGTACCATAAAATAGAGTTGACTGATTAATACCGATTACATGAGATTTGATAATTGAGTTAGGGGAATGACATATATATATATTTATATTGATGTGTGACTAGTGAAATTCTGATGTGATTGTTCACTGAGCCCCCAAATGCCCTGGTACGGCCGAGAGTGGGGAAAGTTAGCTCTTCCTCGAGAAACGCTCTCACATGGCCACGTGCATACAAATGCTTCCACGGAAGTCCTACTCACTGCCTTCTCGTGGCATTACGGTTGTTCACGAAATTGAGGGGACGCGAAGCGAATGTTCGGCTCCTTAACCGAGTTGGTGGACACGGAGAGTCCACCTAGGGGAGTTGGAAAACCCTGATTCCAAACCAACGGTGCACATGGGCTCCAGTGTCATGAGGAAACAAATGGCTTATGAACCGATCGTTGGTCACCGGCTACCATGGGACTGCATCTCCTTACGATGTTCCACTGCCTTGTGGAATAGACCTTTATGTCAAAGGCTCTTGATGTGGCTCCCTAAGAGAAGCACGTGCTTCGGTTTGGGCACCCGGGGAGTATCCCAGCTCTGACACGAATTGAATGAATGATTTATATGGCGCATGTCTATTTGGTGCCTCCTTGTACCAATGTTTATGTGTTTAAATAAATAAAAAAGAGCGTGATTTAATAGTCACTTCATTCCAGTTTTGGATTTTCATTCTGGACTCATTGATTCTGTTTGCTTGTAATTAATTTTGTGAGGTAAAATTACTGTCTTGCATTTACTTGGGTTTTCTATATTTCATCTTGAATCGTGATCTAGTCTGTGTATAGGATAACGATCGTGTATCCGGTCCATTAGTAATATATACACTCAATCGCCTGTCTGTCTTATTAGTCATACAGTGGTCTTGAGTGCTGTTAGATGTATGAGGGCGGTTATCAATTCGCGGTTGCCCACACCGTGGAAGGGTTGTTCTGCAGGTACCTGAAAAGGAAATTGGTTTAGAGGTGGTCTTAGTGACCTGGGAGCGTGACCGCAGTGCCCAACGGACAACTGCTTGAGGTCGGTCACACACGACCTTTTTATGAGTAATTTTTGTGGTAGCTCCGTACTTATTGAGACCTTACCGCCGGAGACGGATATCCGTGGGATAAGGTGAGGTGTGCATTATTAGGGTCGACCTTTCCTAACCCCACCCCTCCTTGTGGGAAGGCAGCATCTCTGTCATGCTGGTTGTCTGAAGGAAACACCTTACTGCTTTCACACCTTTGTACAGTGAGCAGTACGACTTCGCCTTCGGATTTTGGGTTTGCTGCTTTTAGTCTTACCGCCCTTCAAGCGACCTGTCTGACATGGTAGGACCTTGAGGAACGATTGTTCCAGCCAGTATATCCCGATTGGTTCATCATGATAGGCAAGCCCGACCACCACGTCAAGATAGCAACAACGGTCGGGCTGTCTTATTATCATACTATAGTAATATGTCGGTAAACACGAAAATAATTTCCATATATCAATTATGGAATATAACGATTTTATTCTTTATTTAATGATTAATATTGTTGCTTATTTATTTATTTATTGATTAATTAGACAAAGTAACAGAAAATGATCTTCATGAACTTCTTCATCGTATGATTTATCGATGTAAACCAACATTAGTCGGTTTTGGAAAAGTTGACAAATTACCATCATTAGAAGATACTGTTTCTCTATTAAATAATGAATCATATAAAGAGAAGAAATTAAAGACAAAATATAAAATGTCTAGTATATTTAAAGGATTGATTTAATTTCATCTTTTCGCGTTTTTCTCTCCATCCCTTTTTTCACTTGTCATATGTGTTCTCTTATATAAGAGAACCCATATGATTTGTAAATTATTCAATATAACTGGATGATGATTAGTTGTGTAAGTGAATAAGTTATTGTTTTGTCTTCTTTCGGGGGTGAATGTTGTTGTTAGGCACGTGGATAAGGATTTTTTTCTAGTTGGAAGTCTTAAATTTTTACACACTAAACTTTGGTTTTTTGGGGTGACTTCCGGATTGCCAGAATGTACGAAACTGTTAAACCAAATCGCCAAACAGAAATATGACAGAAGACTAAATTTACAGCTTAGTTTAGTTACAGAAATCAGCGGGTATTTAATCACCGGTTACTTTAAATTTGAGGTTCCAGATATTTATGTTAATGACAGCTTAGATATGTAACCGTTCGGGTTACAGAGAACACATAAGCAAATTAAGTTCTAGGAAGTTCTCAAGGATAACGATTGGTTCAAAAGTTTTTTAGGCAGTTTTTCTTTACCGTCTACAGATCTTGAGGTCGACTATAGACCTTAAACAGAAAAAAAACTTGACTTCCCAACATTTTCGTAGGCGAGACCCCTTCCCTACTTAAGTTGGTTTAGGCAATTGGGTTGTATCATTGTTTCCCATGGACAGTCGTGCATATCTGAGTGCTAATATATGAAGAACAGTAACTTGGTCACAACTTGCTCAACATAACAGCACGTTGGAGCTCGCTTATTGATTCATTTTCAAACAATCATCGCTAGCGAATGAGCTGGGGAATCTCGAAAATATTCTTATGTAAACCTTGTATACACGCTGATATTTTGTTACTTACAATTTGGCTTGCACTATATTTATGTTTTGACTTTAGAACCAGCTGAGCGGAGTAATGCGTTTAAGTTCATTAGGCCGTAGAAAAATACTAGGGCAAATAAGGAGATTTAAAGTTAATTTCACAAATTAGCATATAGCTACATAGTTCCAAGTGCCATTCTGCATTTCATAGGGCCAAAATCCGTTCTTCACAGAATTAAAGCTATCGAGTTTTGTGCTGTAAATAAGTAAGCAAAAGTATTTACTACAGCTGTAGTGCCCGCTGTCGCATAAGTCGCCTTAGTATGTAGAAAACCGATGAGCACTGTAGGATTTAAGGCAAATTGTGCTTTACTCTATCCGAGTTCTGGCATTACTAATTACAAATACTCTTTAGGTGATCTGACACATGCTTACTTCTTATATTTACTACTGATGATCGTCATTCTATTATTCCATGTATCTCATACTTGTTGATATTTATTCTCTTCAGCAACGTGGTCATGGTTTTAAGTTCCTCAGCTGTGTACACTTGAAAAATCCTAGGGAAAGATGTGGAGATGTTTTTATCTTTTAATAAGAACCGTATTCCTGAACAAAAGAACAGTAACTATTAAACCATCTTATCAGTATCCCATTGTAAACTAATCTCAACTTTCAAACTAAACGGTTTAATGTGAATGGTGTTTAATAGTTACTCATGAATATGTTTTTAGTTTAAGGTAAAGCTATTGCTTGAAACTGCTCTACTGAAACAGCTCATTTCAAAGTTTACATTTTACTATCAGTAAGTAGATGTTACATTCATCCTTTGTAAATGTATTACCGAACAACTAGAGGTTCTTCAGTTAATTCTACAAAGGAAATGGTGCCATTAAAATCCATAAGAGAAGAGTAATTTCCAACTAGAGTAGTCTTTTTGGATGTTCTGTATGTTGATCAGTAAGAAGGAATTGAATCAAGTATTTCAAGAGGTCTATATTCCCATTTCCTCAACTCTGCACCTCTACATTACAGAATAAACCTGATCAAGATACCTAGTAAAAGAATAATAATCAAGTGCTTTAATGAAAATGGAAAGTTTTTAAACGGAAATCAGAATAGATGTTTACGCTGTGATCAAGGAATCTCTATTTATACATTGTTATTTCGTAGATGATGTGCCCGACAGGTTGCTGATGAATGAATTAGACGAAACAGTACAAAATATACTATAGATCCATGGTTATTATTATCAAAATGACAAGCTTCACGGGAGATTAAAAACAGCATGTAAACAGTTGCCCCTTGCCCCAGTCTACTACCGATTGATGTGTGTGAACACACATACTCAGAGACTGACTAGCCGCGATATACAAGTAAGGGTGGACACATGGTTAATGAAATAACATCAAAAATATATAATAAATTCTAAAAGTAATTGCACTTACGAAAATGTTATTTATTTCATATCTTGACGAAATAATATTTACAAAATTATACTACTGATTTACTTTAATAAGTAGCAGACGACGATTACATGTAGATTTCTGAGAGAAAAATATCGAAATGTTTTTTTATTTATTTCAAAAATAAAAGAAGGTAATAGGCACTTTTCTATCAGTTTTTCTTACAACAACAACAAAGACAATCAACAAGACATTTACACAATCCAAATACGCAACTTAATATCCAAATCAGAATTAACACACCGACAACAACACATACAGTAATGGTGATTGGTTTCCAACTATTGTAAAGAAAAAAAATTGGAAAGTGTTGGAGTTAAAAAGATGTGCTTATACTTTAAAAGAATATTAAATTATTGATAACTAAACATAAAATGGTACTTGTACTGTCACCAAATTCGAATTAATTTAGTTCATAGTAATGTAATCACCTAAATGCCCTGGTACGGTCGAGAGTGGAAAGAGTCAGATTTCCCTCGAGAAATGCTCTCACATGGCCACGTGCATACAACCACTTCAAGGGAAGTCCTACTCACTACCATTTCTCGGCATTACTGTCGTTTACGAAATTGAGAGGACGAGAAGAGAATGAACGGTGCTGCAACGGGGTTTGTGGATATTGAGGATTTAACTAACGGAGATGGAAAACTCTGATTCCAAAGCAATGCTCCACATGGTCTCCAGGACCCTCAAGAGACAAATGAATCAATAATTGATCACCGGCTACCATGGGACTGTATCTCCTGATGTTGCTCCAATGCCCTGTGGAACAGACCTTTAAGTTGAAGGCTCCTGATATGGCTCCCTAAGAAAATCACCTGCTTCGGTTTGGGCACCCGAGCGGTATTGCAGCCCTCACATAAATCGAATGAATAATTTATGTGGCACCTATCTATTTGGTGCCTTCATACACCAATGTTTATGTGTTTAAGTAAATAAATATTTCAGAATTTATTGAGCCTTTACAGTTCTATCTAAACTAAAGGATCAGGTTACATTGATGACTGATTTCATGTGAAATCTCGATTAGAATCATATAGTTTTGAATAGATGAATCTGTTTTACTGTTAGTGATGGTGTCGGTTACTATGTGAAGTCCATATAACTTATTCTGGCTTCGGAAAAGATCAATTTATTCATTCTTCTAGAGTCATGTTTTCACATTGTTAATTATTCACTAATCAACCTTGACTATTATTATATGAGCGTATATGTGTGTACATTTATTATCCTATTCATCACATGTATGTAACTTATTTTTATCTGGTTATAAATATTGATTAACGCTTGATAAGTTGGGAGTTGGCTCACACGCCTTCTCCACAGCGTATCATTTCGCTTTATTCCTGCGACTGCCCGCTCAAAACAATGAATGTACAGCATACATATATTCAAAAATTCATTCTTGTATTTAATTCCGTCATTCATTAACATGAGTTAAGTTGATAATTATATACGTGGATAGACGACATATGTACTTCAATAACATTTATACGCTTTAATTGGTGACCACTAAAGTAATCAGTTCGTCAATAACATTATCTGATCTAATTGTGATGTCAAAATGAAGGGCCCCACAAACTGACATGATCATTTATAACCAATCAATCAGATATTTCAACAAACATACCATTAATAATGATTGAATAACAAGAAGTAAGCTATTTACCAACGTAATATATCCGTTGAATGATACTGTAATCATTCTTCATTAGAGTATTGTCAGTATAGAAAGTAAAGTTATCGAATGTTTTCAAATGGATATAATTTTATTCACTTAAATATCCATTTGTTTGTTACCAAATGGTATCTATTGAGTTAATTCACTTAAAGTCATATTTCAATTAGTGGTCTTCAATGATTGTTAATAGTTAGATAATGAATTAATGTTTTCTTACTATGAAGATGATAACTGATCTAAATAACATTGGTGTATAATCATTCTTTCTAGTCAGTTATTGAACGATCTTGTGAATTATAAAGAATCATCTCTGTTTCATTGTAGATTATTTAGATAGCATGAATGTTAAATTCATTTGATATTGTTTGCTTATATCTTCCGATTGTTGTTTAAGACTAAAATTGTTCACGTCTCTTATGAACATATGAGCATCCTGTGCGGATTGCCTCGATATTGTCTTAAATCACAAGTATTATAAGCAAAGATGGATAGTGGTTAGCAAACAATACCAAGTGAATTTAAACTTTACCCTAATCCAAAAGCAAGTGGCTATTAGGACTCAGTATCTAAGTGAATAACGTGATATCATTTGAACTGAATAATACTGGATTCGACTCCTGGAGTGAACATCAACTCTAAAATGAAGGTACATCCATCTGACCAGTCACAAATAGAATGAAACACACATCAAATTGGATTCCACTGCTAACCATCAACTATCCTTGTTCAAAATGAATGTTCCCAGGCATTTTCATAAAAGCACATTGGTTTAACACTTTAAAAAACTTTAATTTCCCTTAATCAGTTTGGTTAATGGTGTCATATCTTCTAACAGGTAAAAATCTATCATACTTAAAAGAAATGAAGTATAAAGTGGATTATTATTATTCAATGATTGACTTAAATGTGAACAAATACAATCACAAATAGGATAAAACGACCGTCCAGTGCTTCCAGGTTTTCAATGGTGGTCTTGCTTTAATTGACTCATGAACTCAACTCTTAAAATTACGATTCTGATTGCAGTGGAGTTCGTTTATTATTTTTGATAAGTTCAGACTATGATTTTGCCGACTAAAATTACTAACGAGAATTAAATAGGTTAATTAACTTTTCAATACTTTAAATATATTTAAATAATGATAGGGAAATTACTTCCTTAAATGTAATAACAGTGCTGTAAC